AGGGGAGCCGGGCGCGACTGCGAATCACCTGCGCGGCATGCTCGTTCGCAAAGCCGGCGGCTGGCCACCAGGGAAGCACGTCGGCCCCACTGCTCTGCGGCGAGCCCGGGGGCGGCCGCTGCCCCCCGGTGGACGCAGGAATGTTGAATGTGGCATCTCCGATTTATCTAGAACCCGACAGCGCCGGATGGCGCGTCCTCCTCGGGAGCTTCACGGGGCGCGGATACGACGTGGACGCGCGCGACCTCGCCCGCCACCAAGCGCCGCCTACACGCTGGGCACCGCAAGCATGGCGCTCGGGCCTGGCCGCCACGAAGCACTCCAATGGAAACCTCGGCCACATTGATGAATGACATCGATGTCCAGGTCGAGGTGGCGGTCGAAGCAGACGCCGCGCATCTCGTCGGCGTCAGCTTCCACTCATGTGAATTATGATACTGCGCGCCGGTCCGAGGGCAGCGAGGGCGGCGCTGCGCCTGGAGGCCCAGCCACGACGACGTCGATCATACGTTGGGCGCGCTCACTTCGGCGCGCACGTGCCCGTTCCATCTGGGGGTCGCGGTCGGCACCCCCGCTGCGCGCACACATCCGCGGCGCCGTCTGTCCGGCAGGGCAGCCCGCGCTAGCAGGCCCTGCCGCGGGCGCGCGAGTTGGCCGAAACCACTGGCGCGAGGGGTGGTGATCCGCCGATCCTGGGGGGCCGCGAGCTGGCTCATCGGCGGGGCAATGGCGCCCGCGCTGCAATTCTGATCGACGAGGTCCATGTCGCGGGGGGCCTACGGAGCTGCAGTCCCCCGCGGTGCGCCGGTGGAAGGGCGAGCTCCATCGGCGGCTGCTGCCAGCTCAGCGGCGGCGGCGGCCGCGCCCGGCGGCGGCGCCAGCATCTGCAACGGTTCTGAAGTCGGCGTTGCCGCGTTGAAGATCCGGGGTGGCGGCAGCACATCTGCCGCGTCAGTGCGCGCGTGACTCTGGGCCGCGGCGACAGAGGCGGCTGGCCACGAGCCGTTGACATATCCAGGCAGCTGCTAGGAGCCGTCAGCGGACTGCTGCACTGGAACGGCTCTGCGACCTGGCCGCAGCTGAGGACCCCCAGCGATCACGAAAGCAACCCCGAAGATCCCAGCAAGGGGGCTGGGGTCCAGGGCGCCGCCCATGGGTCCAGAGTCTGCGCAGCCTCCGAACTTGCCGCCGCCGCGGCTGCCCTGCAGCGACGATTCGGTGCCTTGCGCGCACCGAGGGGTCGAGGCCCTGAGTGTGCTGGGGGTCCGTTGCATGTGCGTCGTTGCCGCTGTCATTGGTCATGCCCAAGAAACCTCCGAACGATGGCGGCGCACGAAGGGCGCTGGCGAAAGTTTGGTCAGCGCTCCGCGATATGACCCACGCGCCCTAGCATAGTCGTGAGACTGTTGAACTCGGCCTCCGTAGCTGGAGCAGCGCCACGAGTTGGCTAGCTGTAGCGCCGACCCGTCGGGGGAGCAGCCAGCTATAGCCTTCCCAAGACATCGCAGCTCCATCGTTGCGCGCAACTCTAAGTCGCAGCGTGAGGAACCGCAAGAGAGCAGCGCGTCGGTGGTTTCGTTGCGGCGCCTCGAGAACTCAAAGGGTTCGAGGGTAGCCTGGAGGCGCAACTCCTCGCCGAATGGACCGAACTGTGTGGCGAGGTCCGCGATGAGGTAGGTCACGGCGTCATCTGGCTGGCTGTTGACCATGCCTCCTTCCACCATATCCGTGGAGCTCATAGGGCGCATTAGCGCGCGAGCGGCCCCACCGAGGTTGAGGATGACGACAGCTCGTTGTTGGGTGCTGTCCACGTCGATGGCTGGCACGCCCCAAGCGAACAATCCCTCGACCCACTGGTGGAAAGGATACACGGACTCGCGCTCGGGTGACCATGAGGACGGCGGGAAATGATCGCACCGCGGCCGCCGCTGCCCTGTGGGCCGGCTACACCAGGCATCATGCCGGTGAGCCAGAACAAGACGGCCACGAAGAACACGAGGATGCTGCCCTAGAACGTCAAGATGGACATCCTCCTCCGTAAGACCTCACCACGATGATGGCTGCGGGGGCGCCTTGGGGCGCGGGCCTGCGCAGGGACAAACGCCATGTCGGAATACGGGGCAATCATGATGATGCCGTCAACCTCGGTCGAAGCCGAAGTCGGTGAAACTGATACGATAGCCTTCCGTGTTCCACTCGGGCGGCGCGATGCGTTCACAAGGACGGCCAGCATCATCGCGCACGTACTGCAGCACTATCGCGCACGTACCGGGGGCACGGCGCTAGCCCAAAGAGGAGCTTCGCAGTCATGCCCAACGCGAGGATGCGGCAAATGCCTATGGGGTTGCGATGGGTCGAGGAACGTCGTGGCGTTCCTGTGGGCGAATCGCTCCTCATCGCGAAGCGCCTTCTGCTGATGCCCTCGCGGGCGGCCCAGAAGTTTGGGGCGCATTGCCCGTTCATTTGCAGCCGAACAGCCATAAACACAGGCCACTGAAGGAATGGAGGGTGGTACCGATGCGGAATGAAGGTACTTGCGAATGTGCGTCCAAATTGTACTATGCGCACGCTCAGTGGATCGCGAGCTAGGATCGCCACCAGCTCGGCCCCCAACTAGAATTGCGGGGGTTGGAAGCTATACGAGAGAAAGCATGGCGGCAATATGATGATGATTGCAGTGTTTAATTTATCCGTGCGTTATACGGGTACGCGCTGGCGCTGAAGTCAGACGGTGGCAGAGGGGAAGGAGGAGGCAAGGGAAGAGGAAGCAAGGGAGGAGAGGGAGGAGACAAAAAGAGGCCTAGGTCCTAGGTACGACCGCGGTGCAAGATCTCCCGATAGCGTCGGCGAGGGGAACTGCCGGCATTGGCGTCGGCCAGCCCGTATAGAGCTCGCCGGGCACTCCCACAGGGCATACCTGCCCGGCCACCCGCGCGCGCCAACGGCGCCAGGGCCCAAGCCAGCGCCCAGCAGGGGCCGGCGGAGCGCAGAGAGAAAGGGCACCAGAGTCGAGGGGGGGTAGCGCGCCAATACATGGCCGATTCCGGAAACCCTGAACCCGAAAATGTTGCCATCTCTGGGGGGCGTAAAGTTGACTTCCGCCAGCTTCCGCTGGCCTTCCGCCAGCTTCCGCCAGCGGAGGCGGCCTCGTTGTACTTCCGCGGGCTTCCTCCGGCCTTCCGCCGCCCTCCGCCGAGGAAGGCGATGCCAACTCCCTCGGCGGCCCTCACACAGTCCACCTCCGTTCCCTTCTCATCCTCGGTCTCCCTCCCCTGCCAGAGCAGCAAGGGAGGCGCTTCTGGGAACGCGTACTCGAACCGACCGAGGCCGTGCAGAGACATCGGCACGCGGGATCGCGTCGATCGAACTGTGGACAGCACTGCCCTCCCCTCCCTGAGGAGGACCAGACACTAAGCGGAGGACCAGCTCCGGGGGGGAGAAACTACGCGCTGGAATCTGCGATGCGTCGCCGATGGATCGGCGACAGGCTCTCGATAGAGGGTCCCGATAGAGGGTCCGGATGTTCCTGGGCGGGGTGGGCTCTGAGGCCCCTCTCGGCGATGGGTGGGCGATTGGGTGTCGATGCATCGGCCCCCTGAGCCTCATATACCCCCCGACCTTGCCGCGGACTCCCCCTCCCGCCCTCCCTCTCCTTCCTCTCCTCCCTCCTCCTCCTCCTCCTCCTCCTCCTCCTCCTCCTCCTCCTCCTGCTCCTGCTCCTGCTCCTCCTCCTTCCTCCCCCCCTCGCCGCGCCCTTCTGCCGGCCGACGGCCTGCGTTGCACGGCACTGCCTCCCGGAGCAGGCGAGGCCAGAGACGAGGAGCACCGACACGTCCACTTCACTTCACTTCACGCCACGAAACGCCACGAAAAAGCATACACAGACACCCTCCGACGAATGTTGCGTGTACCTTCCAGGAGGGCGGCGATGCATAGAATCGCTGGCTCGCCGTGGTGATTAATGAGGGAGCGCGTTTCACGGGCGCTAGCCTTGGGAACACTCGGCGGCGCATCAGAACAGGGCCCCCACTCCACGCTCTGAACAATTTTCGGGGGTCTCGTCCACTTCGCCAGCGCAAGCTTCGCCGGCGCACGTGCGACTGCGATCCAGGAGAGGACTCTTGACCAAAACCTTGTCAGCCTTGCTGCGGCTCCTGCCAGCGATGGTTGGCAGGCTCCCCTGGCTCCTGGCCACGGTCTGAGGTCAAAGAGGATGCGAAATGCTCGATGCGCTGCGTTAAGCGGAGGAGACAAAGAAGGAACAAAGGAGGATGGGCTGGAGGGAAAAAAGGAGGAGAGTTGACTCGCTGAGGGCTCCCCACCTGAAAACCATAGGAGAACAGTGCAAATGCTTGACTCGCAAAAAATGCACACGGCAGTCAGAGGAGGAAAAGGAGGAATAAGTAGAAGGAACAGTACCTGAAGGAGCAACAGCAGGAGAGAGAAGGAATGAGGAGGAGGGAAAATGAAGAAGGAAGAAAGGACGGTGGAGGGTGGAGCGGTGAGCGAGGAGCAAGGAGCGAGGAGCGAGGAACGAGGGGCTGGGAGGAAGAGCAGGATAAGGGAGGAGAAAGGAAAAGGAAGGAGAAGGAGGAGGGAGGATAGGGGAGGGAGAGCGAGGAGCAGGGGGAAGAGGAGGAGAAGGAGGAGGCGGAGGAGGAGGGCGAGGAAGACGAGAAAGGAGAGGAGGGAAGGAGAGAACGGTAGAAGGAGGGCGGCGGGAGGGGGGGAGAGGATGGAGGAGGGAAGAGGGAGGAGGAGGAGAAAGAGGAGGAGAAGGAGGAGGAGGAGGAAGAGGAAGAGGAGGAGGAAGAGGAGGAGCAGCAGGAGGAGGAGGAGGAGGAGCAGAAGGAGGAAGGAGGCGGGGGAGCAGAAGAGGAAGATGAGGATGAGCAGAAGGAGGAGGAGGAGGAGGAGAATGACGACGACGAAGAAGAGAACGAGGACGAGGAGAGGGGGCGAAGGGAGGAGGGAAGACAGGGCGGAGCAGCAGGAGGAGCCTGCTTTGTCTCGGCGTCGAGGATGGCGATGCAGGCGGCGGGGGCCGCTTGGCCAGCTGCGGTGGTCGCGAGTTGGGAGGGAGTCTCGAGGAAGATCGGCCCCCAACGTCGCTCCCCTCCCCGAAGCCCTCCTCGAGGACCGAGGATCGAAGTTCTTCAAAATGTTGGGCCGCACTTTCTCCTCCAGGGGCCTCTGGAGACCTCCAGATAAGCCCCTGGGGGCTACCAGATACCTTACTATCATTATTATTAGTGATCTTAGTATTAGTTATTCGTATTACTGTTATTCGTATGCTTCTTATTATGTTTATTGCTATTATTATTGTTATTATTATGTGTTGTCTTCCTCCTCCTCCTCCTTCTCCTCCTCCTCCTCCTCCTCCTCCTCCTCCTCCTCCTCCTCCTCCTCCTCCTCCTCCTCCTCCTCCTCCTCCTCCTCCTGCTCCTCCTCCTCCTCCTCATCATCCTCCTCCTCCTCATCCTCCTCCTCCATCCTCCTCCTCTTCCTCCTTCCCTTTTCCTCATAAATAACTCCTCCCCGTCGCAACCGCAGACGTATCGGTAGGGCGGGCTGGGCGCTTCGCCTGAGAATTCTTCAACATGATGATCCTGAGGCTTGGAATTGCAACAGCTTCATGGCTGGAAGGCATGTCACTTTCACAGTGTGGCTCTCGCCTTGGCGCCGTGCACGGACGTCTCTAAAGTCGGCAGCAGCTTCAAGGATGGAGGGCGGGTCCTTCTCAAAGCGTGGATCTCGCCCGAGCGCTGCGAACACTCCTCGAGAATCTGCAACAGCTTCAAGGACGCAGGGCGGCTTCATTCGCCTTACAAGTTTGCAAAGGCCTCAAGGACTCGAACGACTGGAAGCTCCAGAATTGTGCTGGCACAACTTAGGATTGTGATGACGCAAGAATCACGTGGATTCACGGTGCTGACGTCCCAAGAACGGTTTTCCGGCACGATTAAAGATTGTCGGGACACAGCAGTAACGTAAATTCGCGGCGTTGAAATCCTAGGAACGATGTTTTCGCACGCTTGAAGATTACCGAACAGTTGTCTTCTAATGCGGCACTTCCAGCAATGAAAATTACTCCGACGGTAGGACCCCACCTGGAATTCCCCACCCTAATCGGGAAGAAATCCTCATCGTCGTCCTTGTGACTAAGGAGGCGATCTTCCTGTCTGGTCCCTGCTGGTGCCCGCCGACGCTTGCAGGTTTGATTGAGGATGGCCGCCTTGGACTGCTACCATGAAGTGCGGGCCCCATACGGAGGGGCTCCCGCTCGAGACTTCCTCGCGTCTAACAGACAGACGAGGCTCCCCATCGAAACTTCCTCGAGATTCAGGCGTCACGAACCCAAAAGCGACGACACTTACAAGTTGTCCGATGGCCGTCTCGGACTGGTAAGATGAAATACTGGCCCTAGAGGGAGGGGGTTCCCGCTCGAGATCTCCTCCAGAACCAAGCCTCGAGAACCCAAAAGTGACGACGCTGACGGGTTTTCCAATGGCCGCCTCGGATTGGCAACATGAAGCGCGGGCCCCACAGGGACGGAGCTCCCGCCCCAGAGCTCCTCGAGTCTCACTCACAGACGAGGCTCCCGCTAGAAACGTCTTCAAAATTCACGCATCCCGAACCCAAAAGTGATGACAACTACAGGTTTTCCCATGGCCGCCTCGGCCTGGTAACATGAACCGCGGGCCCTGTTGGGAGGGGCTTCCGCTCTAGATCCCCTCGCCGTTCACTCACAAGCGAGGCTCCCGCTCGAGACGTCCTCCATAATCAGGCCTCAAGACCTCAGGAACCCAAAAGTGACGACAGCTACAGGTTGTCCGATGGCCCGCTTGGATTGGTAACATGAAACGCGGGCCCCACAGGGAGGGAGCTCCCGCCCGACATTTCCTCACCAATCACTCACAGACGAGGCTCCCGCTCGAGACTTCCCCCATGATCCGCCCACCCCAGGCCCCTTGGGGTTCATCGGCGTGTGAGATGCTTCACCCTCCCCAGACCCCGCCCCCGGGAGCCCGGTCCGGTCGATCTGAAGGGGGGGGGTCTCCCTGGGCGGCCTGGGGGAGTACTTTGCTCCAGAAATTATGCGGGGGGGCATCGAGGGCTTCAAAACGGACCACGAGGGCCCCAAGAGACATCAAAGACGGTCGTCCCAAGAGGCCGAAGATGGCCTCCAGACAGCTCAAGATGCCTCCAAGACGACCCAGGAGGCTTCGAAGAGGCCTCCCAAGAGGGCCTCAAGAGGCCAAAATCGTTGATTCTCATTTGTTTTTGAAAATGTTTTTGGCTTTCTCACTTTTTGGGGCTTCCGACGCTCGAAGACGGCCCAAGAGGCCCCCAAGACCAGCCCAAGACGGCCCAAGAGGCCCCCAAGAAAGCCCCAAGACGGCCCAAGAGGACCAAGACGGCCCAAGAGGCGCTCAAGACAGCCCAAGAGGGTCCCAAGAGGGCCCCAAGAGGGGACCAAGAAAGGGACCACGAACCGAAAATTCTAGCTTTCCGCCCCAAGAGGCCCCCGGGATGCCCCAAGAGGCCCCCAAGGGGCCCCAAGAGGCCCCAAGAGACCCCCAAGAGACCCCCAAGAGACCCAAAAGAGGCCACAAGAGGACCCAAAACAGCCCCCCAGAGGCCTCCAAACTGCCTCGGGCAGGCCCCCGAAAGGCTTCTCACGAGATCCCAACGAACATCCAAAAGGCCTCTGAATCGCAACCCAGGCACGGTGGCGGGATGGGCCGAAGGCCACTAGACCTGGGGCCGGCACGGAAACGGAAAGAGCGCTTCAGAAACAGAATCCGAAATTACTCACACCACCGTTCGTACTGGGAGCCTTGACGTTGAGAACTTGTTACGTCACCCCTCGCTCTTGGGAGCCTTGGTGTTCAGAGATTGTTGCGTTGCCGCCCGTTCCTGAGCCTTGGCTGGGCCTTGGTGTCAGGAACGTGTTACGTCACCGCTCTCTGCTGGGAGCCTTGGTCTTATCAGCGTGTTTACGTCACCGTTCGCTCTTGGGAGCCTTGGTGTGAAGAGCTTTTTGCGTTACCGATCGCTCTTTATTTGGCGTCTCTGGGCCTTCTTGGGAATCCTACTGGGGCACTTTTGGATCCCTTTTGGGGGCCTCTGGGGAGCCTCTGGGGGGCCTCTTGGGGCTTCTTGGGGGGCTCTTGGGGTCTCCAGGGAGCTTTTTGGGGCGAAAAGCTAGACTTTTCGGTTCGTGGTCCCCCTCTTGGGGCCGTTTTGGAGCCCTCTTGGGCCGTCTTGGGCGCGTCTTGGGCCGTCTTGGGGCCCTCTTGGGCCGTTTTGGGGGCCTCTTGGGAGCCTCTTGGGTCGTCTTGGGGCGGTTTTGGGGGCCTCTTGGACCGTCTTCAACCCCGTGAAAGCCGAAAACCGTGTATGCTAAAAATGTACGTTTCCCTATTGGAAATCAATGATTTTGGCCTCCTGGTGGCCTCTTGGGACGCCTCTTGGGGACCTCTTGGGGCTTCTTGTGGGGCTCTTGGGGCCTCCTGGGAGCGTCTTGGGGCGAAAGGCTAGACTTTTCGGTTCGTGGTCCCCCTCTTGTAAAAATGCACGTTGTCCTAAGGAAAATCAATGATTTTGGCCTTTTGGGGGCCCTCTTGGGACGCCTCTTGGGCGCCTCTTGGGGCGTCTTGGAGGCCTCTTGGGACGTTTTGGGGTTGTCTTGGGCGGTCTTGGGCTCTTTTGGGACGGAGAAAAAGGAGAACCCGAAAAACATGCAAAAACCCTAGGGAAAACCCGAAAACGGCCATCACCAACCCTGCGTCTCCGCCTCGCCCCTCCCCTGGACCCCTCCCTTAAGGGCTTCGCCCCACACTAGAATGTCATCAGTCGTACCTCGCTCTTTCCGTTACCTGGGCCGGCACGGGAACGGAAAGAGCGTTTCAGTAACCTGCCTGAGATGGTTCATGGCACCCTTCGCTTTTGAGAGCCTTGGTGGTAAGAGTTTGTTGCGTCACCGCTCGTTCTTGGGAGCATTGCTGGTAAGTGCGTGTTACGTCACCGTTCTCTGTTGGGAGCTCTGCTGGGAAGGACTAGTTGCGTCACCGCTCTCTGTTCAGAGTCCTCGTGCTCAGAGATGCTCACGTTGCCGCTCGCTCTGGGGAGCCTTGGTGGTAAGAGCTTGTCGTGACACCGCTCGCTATTGGGAGCCTTGCTGGCAAGCGCGTGCTACGCCACCGCTCTCAGTTGAGAGCCTTGCTCCTCCTCCTCCTCCTCCTCCAGCTCCTCCTCCACCTCATCATCATCATCCCCCTCTTACGTATCATTCTTATTCGCATTATTAATAATATGTTCTCCACATTCTCCTCCCCTGCCTCCTCATCCTCCTCCCTCTTTTTCCTACTCCTCCTCTTCCTCCTCCTCCTCCTCCTCTTCCCCCTCCTCCATTTCCTCCTCCTCCTCCTCCTCCTCCTCCTCTCTCCTCCTCCTCCTCCTCCTCCTCCTCCTCCTCCTCCTCCTCCTCCTCCTCCTCCTCTTCCTGCGGCGGCCGCGTGCCTGCCGCGCGCCGGGAGCACATTGATCGGGGGCCGGCGCAACCCCCCAACCCCAGGACAAGCACGCCGCTCAGCGGCGAGCAAGCCCCGGAGCCGAGGGGGCGCGCCGACCGGGGCCTCTACCTCGCATACACGGGAGCACGGCGGCGACGCCCAGCAAGGCGTAGCCGAGTGCGAGCGCCGGTCGCCCGCCCCCGGCGCCGCCCGCAGCTCCGCGCGCGCCAGCCGCCGTCGGGCCCCAGTGGCCCGGCGCCCCGGGCCCCGCGGCCGCGGCCCACCCAGTTCCCCGGCGGGGCAGCAGCGGCAGCAGCGCTGCGCCTGCCAGCGCCCCTCCGAGCCGCACGGGCGGCGCTGCGCTGCGCCGCGCCAGGCCGCCCAGCGCCGGCGCCGCCGGCGCCGCCGCCGCGCCGCAGTTGCCCAGCCGCCTCGGCGCGCGCCCAGCGCCCGCGGAGCAGCGCCCGAGCCCCAGCTGCAGCGGCGCGCCCGCCAGCCGCTCGGCGCGCGCCCCCAGCGCCAGCCGCTCAGCTCAGCTGGGGCCGCTCCCCCGCGCTCAGCTCGCGCGCGCGCGGCGGGGCGCCAGCTCGGCGCCGCCTGCCCCGCGGCGCGTCACCCCGCGCGCGGCCAGGCAGACGGAGCGGAAGGCCTCCGCGTTCTCCTCCTCCTCCTCCTCCTCCTCCTCCTCCTCCTCCTCCTCCTCCTCCTCCTCCTCCTCCTCCTCCTCCTCCTCTCCTCCTCCTCTTCCTCCTCCTCCTCCTCCTCCTCCTCCTCCTCCTCCTCCCTCCTCCTCAACTCCTCCTCCTCCTCCTCCTCCTCTCTCCTCCTCCCTCCCTCCTCCTCCTCCTCCTCCTCCTCCTCCTCCTCCTCCTCCTCCTCCCTCCTCCCTCCTCCTCCTCCTCCTCCTCCGCCTCCTCCTCCTCCTCCTCCTCCTCCTCCTCCTCCTCCTCCTCCTCCTCCTCCTTCCTCCTCCTCCTCCTCCTCCTCCTCCTCCTCCTCCTCACTCCCTGTCATACTGTACGGTACTCGGCGGACGGGTGGACGGGGCGGGCTTGGAGCGGAGCTCACGCTGCCCTGCTTGTGCACACGGCCAGGCGATCGACAACCCTTGATATTGCCATCTTGCCTGGCTCGCCCTCCTCACTCGACCCCGCCTATGCTTGCGCCGCCCAGCCGATCCGCGCGGGCCCCGAGAGAATTTATATCTCGATTGTTACGCGCTGCCGAGCGAGCCTTCGATTCGCTGGGTGAGCGGGCGAGCGAATGGCCGAAGATTCGAGGCCCCATCACTGCCGCCCTGGCGAGCCGTCGGCGCATCGGTCGGCGGGCAGGCCCTGGCGTCGGCACACCGCCCACTGCCGACGAGGTGAGTATAGAGCCTGGACAGCTTTACCCGCGCACTTGCTGGATGCTGGGCCACCGCGAAACCGAAGACCTGCAGCGCCGGCTGACTTCAGGCCCCGTGCTGTTCCTCCCCTTCCTGCCGCCGGCCACCTGGTCTCCAGCCGACGCCACCTCCCACTTTACTTGTCGGGTTACGCCCGCACTGCGGCTGCCGGCTGCGAAACCGCCCCGCATCTGCTACACCCCACACCTGGCCTGCCCACACCCCCACACCTGGCCTGCCCACACCTGGCCTGCCCACACCCCTCTCAGGGAGGGAGGGAGGGAGGGAGGGAGGGAGGGGGCAGGGAGGAGGAGGAGGAGGAGGAGGAGGAGGAGGAGCAGCAGCAGGCTTGGCCTCGCCCACACCCCTCTGCAGCCCCGCTGCGCGAGTGCGCCCCGCGCTCGCCTCTCCGCAGCCGCCCTCTCCCCCCCTGCCCCCCTTGCGTGTGGGCCAATTCATGATTCCGTACCCCGGTGTCACTCGGACGCATCTGCCACGCTGCGACGGAGGAAAATTACCCTGGCGACGTACCCAACCCCTGCGTAAACGCGGGGCGCAAATAGTTCACGACATTTTATAAGGGGGGCGATGACGGAGCGAGGGTTACATATGTCTGCAGACGGAATTCGGGAGACTCGCAAGACACTGGCTACAGGACAGGGACTAGATAAAGCTGATTAGTTACAATCCCTGAGCACCCCTAGCCACTTCGAAAGCGGGGATCTCATATCGCAGCCCCCGAGAGATGGCGAGGTCTAACTTGAGTCTGCGGCGAGGTCCCAGAAACAGTAACGGTTCGAGGATGATGTGATCGAGGGACTGAGAGCAACTCACGAGGCATGAGGGGCGTCTCGTGGAGAGCAAGCTGTTTCTTTCCGCTTCGCCCCCTGCAAATGATGACGACGACGACGACGACAACACCGGCGACGAGGATGATGACGGCGATGACGGCGACGACGACAACGGAGTCGATGACAACTGTGACGACGACACGACGACGGTGACGACGACTCAACGACGACGACGGCGACGGCGACGACGTCGGCGACCCGACGGTGACGAGAATGACGACGCCGACGGCGATGACGACGCCGACGGCGACAACGACGACGACGATGACGACGACGACGGCGGCAACGACGCCGACGACGTCCCAGGCAAGCGGCGAACGTCCTGCTCCTCATTCGCCTCCTCCTCCTCCTCCTCCTCCTCCTCCTCCGACTCCGCCGCCTCCTCCTGACCCGCAGCCCCTCCAGCCCAAGGATACGGAGGTATATTGTGGATCCGCGTAGCGCGTCACTGTGCTGGGCCCCCCCAGCAGGCCTCGAAAGTGGCGACAGTTTCACAGATCGCAGCCCCCCAGGGATGGCGAGGTCAAACTTGGGTCCGCGCGTGGCGTCACTGTGCTGGGCCCCCCAGCAGGCCTCGAAAGTGGCGACAGTTTCACAGATCGCAGCCACCCAGGGATGGCGAGGTCTAATTTGGGTCCGCGCGTGGCGTCACCGTGCTGGGCCCCCCAGCAGGCCTCGAAAGTGGCGACAGTTTCACAGATCGCAGCCCCCCAGGGATGGCGAGGTCTAATTTGGGTCCGCGCGTGGCGTCACTGTGCTGGGCCCCCCAGCAGGCCTCGAAAGTAGCGACAGTTTCACAGATCGCAGCCCCCCGCAGGCAAGACAGGAGGAGGCAGGCAGGAGGCAGGAGGGAGGCGGGAGGAAGGAAGGTGGAGACCACAGTCCCTTATTCAAAACGAATACCCAACCAAGGAGGGTTGGGAAAAAGATCAAACCCATTGAATTTAGGGGTTCGGTCGGAAGATCGGAATTGTGGGGACCGATACGCGGGAGCCGTTGTTGGTGCTGTCGGGGGCCCAGGGGCTCATCGTCGCACACAAGGCCATCCCCGACAGTAAGGTGGGTGCCAGCATCGAAGGGCACGCTTCGATCGAGAGAGCAACGGGTCGCACCACTGGGGGGATCAACGATGATCGCTCCTCAGAGTGAAGATTCAACACACGTGCCCGTTACACATGCCACCTGGTCAGGCTCAACGCACAAGATTTTTCAACGTAGATCTGTTGGGCGGTCAAATGCAAGTGATTTGAGCTGTTGCCATTGCTCCAGGTGCACAGTACACAGCATGAGGCAGCTGAGCAGAGAAATGATCATACACATATGGGAAAGGTTCCGACCTGCGGCGAAGACCTGGCTCGGCTCGAAGGGCGACTGGGGCGCCACGGTGGCGTAGCTGATGTCGCCAGCTTCCTTCGAATGACTGGCCAGCGCGTGGGGGGGATCATTCGGGGGCAACAATCCACCATTCCCAGAACTGCTACCGTCACCATCCCCGCCGTGGCCACCGTCACCAACCTCACTGGCGTCGTCGTCCTGCCTCTTGCCAGAACACCATGATTAGTGCCAGCGATCCGCTCGCTGGGCATCCCTGGATGATGACGCTCGCGATCCAGAAGAGAACCTGTTCAATTCCGCCCACGAGGCCAGAGCAGACGACCCCCGAGTAAAGCTCATGAAAGAGGGCGAGGAGAGGCGGGGGAAGGGAGAGAGCATCATCGTCATCGCCGTGCCGATCCACACCTTTTTCTCCTTCTGGAGCAAGGCGAAGCGAGACCACGGCGGCTCGAAGTCGATCCCCGGACCCCTCCCGGGGTCCCACCGCTCTGCTGTTCCGAGCTGCGTTCGGCCGTGGCGACGAGGCGGCCCCCCGAAGGTCAGCCACCGCTGTCTCAACTGGGTAGTCGAAGCCAGTCTGGCGCCAATCTGGCAGGCCCAATCTGGCAAACGAGGGCAATCTTGCGAGGGAGCCAACGCGAATCCAGTCTGGCGAATAACCCAAATCCTCCAATTTGGCCAGGCCAGATTGGCCCTTGAGGCCCAATCCAATCTGCCAGTCTGGCCTTCGACTACCCAGCTCAACTGGCTCTCCTCTGATCCCTGGCCCTACTCCTCCTCATCCTGCTGCAGCCGAGGCTCCCAGGTGGAGTAGTCGTTGACGAGCTTGACATGCGGCAGCAGCTGGCGGAAAATGCGCACCGTCTTCATGGGCAGCACCTGGCGCGAACAGACTCGCCCCTCGTCCTCCTGCTGCTCCTCCTCCTCCTCGTCGTCCTCCTCCTCCCTTTCCTCCTCCTCCTCCTCCTCCTCCTCCTCCTCTCCTCCTCCTCCTCCTCCTCCTCTCCTCCTCCTCCTCCTCCTCCTCTCCTCCTCCTCCTCCTCCCCCCCCCCTTCCCCTCATCATCCTCCTGTTCCTCCGGCTCTTCCTCTTGAGACATCCCTACAAAAATCCCAACAGCGCTCAGAAGCAGCGGGGACACAACGGAGGCGGAGGGGGCGAAGAGGAAACAGGAAGGAATAAAGGAGCAAAACAGGGCGTGAATATAGACAGTCGCAGCCTCCGAGAATTCATGTTTATGCAGTTGTTTCTTCTTCGAAGGAACGGGAAGGGCGAGAAATGGGCGGGCGGGCACGAGGCTGAGCAAGATCGCGAAGCAACAGAAGGCCAAAAAAAACGGCCAGATCCAAATCCGAGTCGAGAGGTATCCTTCACGCACGCACGCACACTTACTCTACCCGGCAGCTGGGCGCACATGGCGACTCCGGCGGACAGCCCCCCCGCGGGAGACCGCACGCGGAGATCTGCTGAGAGGGAGTGGGGGGGAAAAGGAAAACGAACGTATGGAGAGGAGGGCGGCGGCAGCAACGCCGCGATCCATCGCACCGGAGAGACGCGGAGTTGAAGTCGAGCCTGACACAGCCAACGTGAGTTTGCCGTGTAAAGACGGCCTAGGGAAGTTCGACCTGGAGGTGACAATTCTGTACCCCCTCGAGGTCTTCCGTTGCACACACCAGGGGGCCATCGATCCTGGAGGCATTCAGTTCACGACATCTTTCCTCGGGAGCGCGGGTCAAGCGCGAGGGGGGGTCCGTCGGGGGCCTATGGCTGTCTGGTCCGACTGCGGAGAGCGCTCAGCGGGGAGACGGCCCAGTCGACCTCTCGCGCGGCGCGGAGGCCCCTCGCCCGAGGGCCGGAGGGAGCCTCGAGTCCAGCAGGCCGCCTGGGAAGACATGGAGCGCAGCAGCAGTGGGTAAGGAGAGGGGCAGGGTGGAGGGTGGCAAGGAAGCAACTCCTGGGAGGTCTTCGTCGGAAGGAGTAATCCTAAAGCCCTAATGAAGGAACTTGCGAATTTCGCGAAAACAATCCCCTGGGACTGTTTTGAAAGCGCAGAATGCTGAGAGACGATATGTTTGATGATGATTTGTTCGCCACGATGCCACAACTGCGGCTTCATGGCGGCGGCATCCAGTAGCTGCGAATGCAGCCCAACGGAATGGTCGGGCGAACCGACGCCGTGGCCGACGGAACCAACCAAATGCCCGACGGAGACGACGCCATAGCCGACGGATCCGACGGAATGCCCGACGGAGCCGGCGCACTGCCATCGGCCGCCTGCGGCGACGTCTCAGCCGCACCTGGGGGCGGCGTCTCAACCGCAACTGCGGCTTCATCATCTGGACTCCACCAGGAGCCCCACCCCGCATCCCATGACCGCCAGGAGCGCAATTCCGCATTGTCCCAGTCTCGCCAAGAACCGTTGCCTCTCGTCGCGCTGCCGCGGCGCCCCCCGTGCGCGGCGGCGTCGGCGGGCGTCGGTCGGCCCAGCCGCCACAACGGCACCGGGGCCACGAGCCGCGCCAGCGCGAATGGCTCTGCCGCGCTCTGCGGCTGCGGTTCCCTTGCCCTGCTGCTGGCGGCTCTTGTGCCGGTGGCCCTTGTGCTGGTCGCCCTTGCGCTGCCCGCTGGTCGCCCTCCTCTTCGTCGCCTTCGCCGTGGCCCTTCTTCCCCCCGCGCTTCTGGTCACGCCCCAGGGGCCCCCCCCGCTTGTTTCTCCGGCGACCTGCGGGGCTGGTCGCGCGCGAACACCGGCAAGGGGAAGCGCGCACCGTCGCGTGCCTTTCAGAGAGAACCCTTCCAGATGGCGACTTTCAACTCGTTCTGTCGGGTCCTGAATGGGCGCGGTGCCCACTCTTCTAGATCTGCGCCCTTCCGCGACTGCGGCCCCTGCTTGATCTGCGCCATCTCCCCGTCGAGCTCCGCGTTTGCGGTGGCGGACTTGCCAGATGGCGCCAGAGATGGGCGCAACTTGTCCATCTGTGTAAGTTTCTTGGGCGGGTATGTCTCCAACGGCCCCCTAGGCAAATCCTGGCAATCGAACATTTACCAGCGCGCGCAGGACCTCATGGCCGAGCCGCCTGCGCCGGCGGAGCCTGCGGCGCCTGCTGCTGGGCAAGAAGAACCAGGGCCTAACCGCGCCCAGGTGGGCGAGGCTGCGACGGCATGGGACGTCGACGGCATGGAGATCAGAGAGCCCTGCGGCAGGACACGGGCGACCTCGTGGACGCCCAGGCCGAGGGGGGGCCTGTCAGGCTCAAAGCGAGAGTCCTGGCGGCAGGCGGCTTCAAGCCACCTCGGCTACACAATCCGAACTACCGACGGCCCCCCTCGCTGCTTTTCCAGTGGCGATTCAAGGCGGCGACCAGTGCTACCCGACCAAGTGAGCGGCGCGTCGGCGCGCCCATCAGCACGTTCCTCTTTTTGGCGGCGCAGTTGTTCCTGATTATTCCGGGCTCAAGTTGCGTTCTTACAAGCCGCGAGATTTCGACGACGGAGCGACGACACGCCCCACCACTGTGCCCTCGGGTGCTCTCGGAGATCCGTCGTCAGAGCCGCGGTCTCAGCCACCTTCGACATCGGCCAGACAAGCTGCCTCCCCCTTGCGGCGGGCAGCTGATTTCGAGCCGTCGGAGAGTTTGCCGCATCAGACTGAATTGATCTTAGTCACCTACAACGGGAACGCATGGGCCACCACACAGACAAAGCCCTTCGGCCTGACGTTCTTCTCCTTCAAGAGCACCGCCTCAGGGCAGGAGTGCAGCTGGAGAGCGCCCAGAGCTGGGCGCACGCGCGCGGTTTTCGCTTTCTTGCCAACGGAGGCGCAGTCACGTGGACGAGGGCTACCTCGACATCTAGCGGGGTCGGCATCGCCAGCCTCAGTCATCTGGCCAGCGTCCCGTTCGAGCCCACGGGGGCGCCCACCAAGTCCAGAAGGCCAGCGCCGCGCGAATGCTCAGAAGCGGCCCCCAGTTCGACTGGGCGGGCTCAACTGGGCCAGCGCCGCGCGAATACTCACGGACTACGCGAGGATCTGGGACGGGCTCAACTGGGCGGGCGTGGACGGTATATCGGTCAATTCGCTCTCTGATTTTTTAGAAGGCCTCAAGGACCCTGTTCGGGGGCCCCAGGTCTGTAAACGCCTGCAAGATCAGGCGCCGTCGCACACGGCTGCGGACGCAGCTGCTGCCAAGCAGGGCTGGAAAGAGCATTCGGAGCTGGCTTTCGCCAATGGGGCCAGCCTCGCCCACCGTTTCTCTAAGGGACCTACGGGGGCCACAATCGCCGACCTCCCCCAGGGCCCCCCAATGGTTGGGCGCGAAGCCTTGCAGGCGATGCTGTCGGATTGGACCAAGCTCCGGGCAGTCCCAGCCAGAGCCCCCGAGGTTCATCCGCTCGAATGGGACGTCTCTCCAGCGGAGCCCCTGCCCCGATTGACGGGCGACGACGCGAAGGCAGTGCTCAGCCCATTCAAGGCAGGACGGCTCTCGGATGGAAGTGTCTCCATCCTCGGCGGGTGGAGAAGTTAACTACCCTCGACTCTCGTCTCTACCCTCACCCGTCTTCCCTTATCTTGGGAAGATAGTCCTGCGCTCACCGACGTCTGCACGAGCTTAACTGTTTTCTTGCCTACGGCCACAGGCGGGGTCCGCCCTATAGGATTGCCCCCGCTCTTTGCTCGTATTTGATCCCGTCTCAGGCACAGGGCGGTTGCCATCTGGGAAGCGACCCTGCCAGTCAGCTTTTTTTTGGGGGGGGCTCATCCGAGACCTCGCACGATACGCTGGCGTGGATCCAGAATGTGCTTTGGAGCGTCGCTCCTGAATTCAACCTTGTCTGTGCTAGCGCGTTCATTGATGTGCGTTGGTTTTATCCGAAAATGACCGCACCTCGAGAGCCTTCAGGGGCCGCGGGGGATACGGGTTTCCCCCAAAGCTCCCGAAGCCTCTACGCGCCGTGTATATGGGGGACAGGCGGGCTCCATACCAGAATCCCACCTCGGTTGAGATTCTCGCCAGCGGGACGATCGTCGCAGGGTGCTCATGCGCCACGGGGCTCGCGAAGTTCGTGACGGCGACGGTCCTGCGACATGTCGGGGCAAGCTGCTGTTCGCCCCGCGTGCTGTTTTTTTTTCCAGGGCAACAGAAAACGAATGGATGATGTGAGTCTGCACTGCGTGGGAGGCCCAGAAGGGGGTCTCGAGGGAGCTCGCTTGGGCGTTCAGGGAGGCCGCGGGCTTGCTGCAGGCCCGTGGGTTGCCGCGTTCCTGGGACAGGATGGGCTTCCTCTGCGACGATGCGGATACTTTCAAGGCGATCGAGGACGAGGTTGCCGATTTATGGTCTGTTAGGATCCATTTCCCTGGACGCGGACAGTTGCACCGAGATCTCGGGGGAGATGCATTCGACCGGCGTACAAAAGGATAGGTACGCAACTCACTCGCACCAGGGACGCCATGGCCCAGCGGGACAAGCTGCTGGCCTTGCAGGGCCTTAGGAAAAAGCGGTCAGTTGTACATCGAGAAGGGGTGCTATCCAAGGCCCTGTGGGGCTGTTCCATCGCGGCTCTCCCTCAGGTTTGCTGAAAGCGGGTGGCAGAACGACCCGCTAGCCATTGCCACGGCCGATGCATGGTAGTCCTGGCGTCTTGGGCGATCAACACATCGGTGGTCGCCTCGTTGGTGGTCGGAGCGGTCTCGTTGCTCGATGACGCCCAGGCGTGGCTAAAGTGTACGAACCCAATGCAGCCCTCATGCTCAGTCTGCATCGGATATGCCGGAAATCGCTCGGCCCCGTCACCATTGTGGACGGCGAAGGCAAGTCTTGGGATCTCGGTTTCTACTCGGCTAGTTGGATGGCTCACAGTGTCAACCTCGGTGTGA